AAAACAAAACTCTTTTACCACAGAAAATACTGAATTTGGTTAATTGTATTATTGTTCGGAAACTGCCATTGTTGTTCAATTGAAGCTTCTCTTGCATTAGCTGTTAGGTATATGTAGATAATCTGTTTAGTTAAACATCCTCACATGTGAACAAGTCAAGTTATGCACCAACCACCTTGTGCAAGTGTTTTAATTTGTCAGCTCCCAAAGTCTATTATGGATAACAATACTTTCAGTTACGTTGCATATCTGTACAATGGCATGCTTCTATTGTGATCTGAAGGTTGTTATCATCCTAAATTTAGTAAACGTTGTGATGATGCTCGTCTTCCTGTTGTAGCGTCTGTGGCTAGAATGCTATTTAAATAGATAGATATGGTGGAGTATGCTACTACCACACCACCTATACAAGATGTGCAAGAAATAGAATCGCTTCTGTACACGGTAAGTCAATCAGTTCTTACCTGGGATAATGTATTGTCTAGTATTCGAGATGAGAGGTACATTGTATGATCCTATACTGTTTACCAGGTGAGTACCGGTATATGCATGCTTCATGCAACTGTTACATGTAAATGTTACCATAAACATTTAATTTTCACCTTAAGGACATAATTTCCTCAACTGTGCCTCACGAAATGTACACTGCGAAAGCATTTTTATTTATTTATTTAATTATTTATTTATTTATTGGACTTTTGAACATATACATAAAAGTTAGTAAAAGTTCATGCCAAAATTGGTGGGAATAAAAATTAAGCATCAGTCAGTAAGGCACAAGCATTCCTAATTGAATGCACCCCCTCCCCTCCTTTGATGTGCAGCATAAATTGTCCGATTCCTGTATTTTGAAAGTTGGCATGGTTATAAGAGTTTATTGTAACAACTGTGTGCTATTTTGATGTTTTGAGCCTTTTTACTGTGTTTAAGTTCATAAAGTTGGCATGGAAACAATAAGTTCTATTGTCATTAATATATGTTCATATGGATTTAATTTACCAAATTTTCATCACCAAACATAAATAAATTGTACATAGCTGATTATAAATGTACTCATTATAAAATATTGTTTTTATTTTCTATAGTTACGTGAATTACTCTCAGCAGCCTTACCAGATGATTTACTGGATGATACAGTGTCTCTGTCGTCACAAGAATCCTCTTTAATATCAGTTAATCCATCGCCATCACCTAAAACAATAAGGTAAATATAATAATGTATTGCCTTCTTTAATAGTGGAAAAATAAACAGATAACATTATAAAATGAATCAGAGGTTAAGTGAATAAATATATTGGTATTTGTGATTGCTCATTAGTATTCATAATTTTATCAATATTTATTAGCTTGATATTTATTAGCTCATTAATATTCATGAGAAACCAGTAGTAACTGAAAATTATTACAATGTTCAATTTGCATTTATTAAAGGCAAAAGCATGAAAAAATAAACATGATCGATGAAATGTCAGGGAGAATTCTGTTAATGGACAGTGTTATTGCATTTTCTAAAACTGTCATAAAACACAACTGAACAAGCATTTAAGAGACACTAATTTGTTTGTGTATTCAAAAATGCAATGCAAAGCAAAGTAAAATGCTTTTCTGTATTATTAATCAAGTCTTGGTTTGGTTTGATTTCATTGCAGTAATGATCACTGGGCAAAACAGCAACAGAAAGCGGCAGTATGGCACGCTGACCAGGTGGCATCACATAATAGCAGTTTGCAGTGTCAGCAGACATCGACCCCACTGAATGGTAACAGTCCGCCACCTCCGTTAGAAACACCAGCCAGTCAATATAATGAAAAACAGTATGATCATAATGGATATCAGGCAAGTACAAGAGAGAAGGGACTCACACCACTAATTTTATTGTATGTATTCCATCACCAGCAAAGTGGGAAAAAGTCCATTTGTTGGTTATCTGCAATAGCCCAATATGAGAGGTCATGGCTTTAATGCTATTGTCAGTACATGTCCCCTTCAAGCCATTAGCATCAATCAAGTTTCATAAGTGTCTAGCAACAATGCGCAAATGAGTGTTGTTTAGCTGTAAGAATTTGCTATTTCACTAATTCAACTATTAGAGTGTATTCTGTATGTTTTAAATTCAATATTTTGATTGCAAAGCAATGAGTTCTATTTTGGATTTATTATGTTTTTATATTTGTTTTCGTAATTTAGCAAAATGAATGTTAATAATGTTGACAGTGTAGCTACATGTGCTATATTTGTCTTAGTTGTAGCTTTTTATGACATAGGTGTGTATGTTGTCAAAAATACTAGTACATGTATGTCTCAATATTAATTAATGATCCAGCTCACAGTAAATGTAGTTTTTAATTTTGCTTCTAATAGAACAAATATGAAATACATAGGATTCCATGTATCTAAATTTCATTTGTTTGGATTTCCAGAAGGAAAATGGGTATGGAAATGGTTATGAGCAAAATTACGAGTTTGTGGATGGACACAATAGGCAGTATGAACAACAACAATATACTCAACAGCAACAACAACAAGGGGGTGTTTACCCTCAACAAAACGGCTACCCGGGAGTAAATGGCCATTCGCAAGAGTCTGATGGATATGCAGAGAACAACCATTCACATTCAAATGGCTATCAAGAAGGCAATGGATGGAGCAACCAAAATAATAATTATCAAAACGGTGACGCAGCTTACGCTCAGAATGGAGGACACACACCGACTGAAGAATATCCTAATGACCATGGGGAATATCACCATGTAGGGAATAGTAGCGATGACGCTTACAATGGATACTATGATGAACAGAATGGATACAATCATCAGCAACAGTATCCCGAGAATGGGTACCATGCGAATGCCAGAGAAGGTGCCTACTTGGAGGGTTATGCAGAACAACATGGTAGTAACGAGTTTATTGACTATAATGGAATGCCCAATGAGGAACAACCAAATGAAGCGCATGATCCTAACGCCTACCACTACAATGAGTATAACGGCAAAGCTGTCGAGGATCAATCAGAAAGTTTCCCCAATGGCTATCACAATGGTGGTTTTCATGCCAAAGTGAGTCCGCAACTGAGAAGTTCAATGCCGGAATTGAATAAAATGACAGACGTTGAGAATTATAAAGTTCAGTTCAGGGCAAATGTGATGAACGGACATTCAGAGAATGCCGAACAGTTCATCACAGCGGCTCCATCTAAAATGATGATGCAGGGGAAAACCGGTGAGGAGTTTGACAGCCTGCAGAAAGAATTTCTCAACACAGGTGAGTGCATTGTCTCCATTTACACACAACAGCCATGACAATTGGCTAATGCAATTTACCATTTCACCTTGACTGAATTTGGTGAAAATTTAATTTAATTTAATTAATTATTCTCGCTTTGACTAGGCTGATTTTATTCAAATGTGGGAAAATAATTGTACTGTAAAATCTAATCTGTATTAGAAACCGCGGCTTCTATTAAAATGCTACAATGCAACAGAGAGGGATGCGGCTTCTATTAGAGCATCTCCACATATGAGAAATGATGATTTTTTGTTTCTCAATTGTTCACAAAGAATGGGTGCAACTTCCATTAGGGATGTGGTTTCTAATACAGATTTTATTCTACAACTCAAAATGCTGAAGGTCTTCGGTGTGTCCTATAACAGGACTGATTTTGTAGGGATGAAAGAATCACCCAAAATAAAATTGTATGGGACTGTGTTGATGATTGAGGAACAAATTAAATGCTGTGGCCCCTGATTTCTGTCGTTTTTACATATTTTAAAATTCTATATTATATAGTACCAATTTACAAATTCCTTAGATGTCACTATCTATATCAACGAATGATTTTCTGTTGTGACAATGACGTACCAATGAATTAGCATAACTACCAGGTACTTGCGTTCTTTGTGCGTCAGTAGTGCATCATATTGAAGGCCATTGCCATGGATAACCCGACCTGACCATTGAGGCGCTCAGTGTCCTCAAACATCTCCTTCACAATTTCAGTCATTGCATGGCATCTTTAGA